GTTGGCCAAAGTTGTCATATAAACGGTATTTATAATATTCATTACATAATAACGTAATTTTAAAATCAATGATTTACTTGTTTAGAGATACGGAATAAGTCAATACTGTATTTTCAGGAATAAAAGCAATAAATATTATATTATCACTTTCTTAAATGTTCATTTATGCGAAAATTGAAATATTTCTCGTGTAGGTAGGACTTCTCTCCAACCAAAAAGTGTGTAGAGCACAAAAAGAAATATTTAGAGAAAGCAGGCCAATTCTTAGCGAAGGTCCAAAGTAGTAATCGTAGCCTTAAATTTAGTTATCTTAAAAAAAGGAATGTTATTTTGATTTTTCCTGGATTAAATACTCAGTTGTAATGGAAATGTAATCCTGTATACGTTTATTCAGAATCACCGAATGCCAATTAGCTGTAGGATAGTTATTACATCTAAAAAAGCCTATTATTTTACAATTATGTTGGAAATACATATGGAGCGCCATTAGGCTCGAATTATATTGTGATGCAATAGAAATACTTAAAATATTATAATATCTTGTTTTCAACTCGTATTTGGTGTTAGTGACTATTTGGTTGGATGTATGACACCAAAAAATAGTGCGCAGTCATCATTTAAAAATTTTATTTTTATTCTCAAATTTTGTTTTTTTTTCATTTTTTCAAAGGGCTAATAGTTAAGTTTCCCAAAATCTGATCAGTAGGCCTTAGGATTCTATTAAATTTGACCTAGCATTGTCCCCCAAAAGGCAATTTCAGCCGGATTGGATTTGCTTGCAAGTTCGATAAAGACTGATCGGAATTCAACCCAAAGTCTTTGGTATCATGGTCAAATGACTACACAACAAAAGGTTGCCAGTTGATTACAGGGCATTTATAACATATTTTTAGTGAGAACATGTGCTTGCTATTGTTACTAAAGGCACTACCTATTTTCAAAGTGAATAGTATTCGGAACTGACGCCAATTATTGAATAAGAACTTAGTTTCCCCGCGTCCTAAAAAAATGATTTGCGAAGCTATATTAAATTGTCATCATAATTATATAGCCTTAGAAAATCTATTCATCTAATTGTAGAAGAAATCGAATATTCGTTTTTGAAATTAACTTATAAATTCTTTTCACCCTAACTATTTTAAGGTGATGAAGAAATGGTAGTTGAATTTTCCCACAATGATATGATTAGAGCTAACGTTTCCATTGAATTTCCCACAGCCTTACTTTCCACAAAGATGTTCTCATCAAGGGTGCAGTGAATTTTCGACCTCGCATAGGTCTTATCAACGCCCTCAGCGGAAGTTGAACCATGAGGATGCAGTGTTTAGTCTCGACACGTCAACCACTGCGCTAAATTGTTAAGAGTGTCCTTGGGTCACAGAGCAGATGCGAATTTCAAGGAATGTCAGACATTTTCCATATCACATTCTGTGTTGGGAATGTCGATGAAGCAAACTTATATTTGCTATAGCAATCGACAAAGTTACTTTTTCCGTTATTAAATAGGTTTTCGATACAACCTGTAAATTAGATATATGAGTTGTATTCACTATATTTCGTTTAAAGTGATGAAGGACTGCTAAGTTGAATTAACTTAATAAACACGAGATGGCTAAGTTCTTTTTCAGGATTTAATGGTAGTTTGAACACTACTTATTTTAAAAATAAATTGCATCACGTTGTCTTAAATTTCACTTTTAGCCTTAGTACAGGATTATCCCAGAGTATTCGGATATGTATCTAATGGAGATAGCCAATATGAATTATGAGAAGGCACAGGTCCCCTTGTTGATTTTACTTAATCAAGGTTGTAATCTAATTTTTACATCTATTTTTTGCATCAGTTTGACTTAGCCTCACTAAATGAGCATGATCGTTGTCCGGAGCAGAAAGTTCTCAGGACTGTTCTTAAGTCGAATCCAATGAATGCCTCGCCTTCCTCCGACATGGAGCAGCCAGATGATGAGTCGACAAAGGTTAATCTGATAAGTCAAGTTGTAAACAAAAGCTCAGGTCTGAATGATACCAAAGAGGCGGTGCTTGTTCCGACTTCTGGACATAGTCACCCGGTTACCGTTGACGAGGTGGACGTGAGCAATGGCTCTCAATCACAAATTGGTTATATGATGTGTGTGAATGAGACTGAGCTAAAATTGGGAGGTTATAGGGAGACAACGTCAACTCAATTGACGCCTTGCAGTTCTCCAGCATCACGTCACCACGAGCCGGACGGCAGGCTGATGAGTCAAGCACCCCTTCACATTGTCGCCTCAGCTCTCAACCTCGGAGAGGGACTCGAGCCCACCACAATTGAGCCATACTGTTCAGTCAGAAGTCTAGCCTCATCCTCCAAAGGGCGCACCTTGTCCTGTCTTGAGGCGATTGGAAAGTTGAGCCGATCCGTGATGGTGGAAAAATGGGAAGATCAAAAGGTTTCGTCAGGATTTGCTACCAACTTTCCGCATTTCACAAAGTCGAACTCGACCAAATTAGATCCTACAATAACCTGGCGTCTTCAGGGCAGCATTTTGGCGCCAAGCAGTGGTTCCCTGATGCCTGATTTCACAAGACAGATTAGCACAGGTTTAGCGTCAAGACGACCCAGTTTACAGCAGTCTGAGGCTGGAGGTACAGCAAATTCTGAGTCACTGGTTTACTCGGTTTTGCCACCTTTTCTCTCATCCGTTCAACTTTCTGGCCCAGAAGAGGTAATCACATGCTCGACGGATAGACCGGGTTTTTCCAGTCTCAGTGTGGATGCAATGAATCTGATCGCAGCCAAACAAGCGGAACCGCCTACTACCGACCTCGATCCTGGCGTCACCGTCGGCCTCGAGCTTGGAACCGACGAGAAGTCGACATCAGGTCGACTGATGACGGCCTGGCAATCGATGCGAGAATTGTATGCTGAAGGCGCTGGTGATCCGACGGAACAGATACGTCGAAAACGGGACCAGGGAGTGACAGATTTATTGAACCTCGACGATCGACACATGGCAACGTCAATTGTCGCCGTTTCGCTGGCTGAAGGTTTACAAGGCCTTCAGGGCGGTTCCGGCGATCAGACGACAGGACTTTTGGAGACTTCTGACATGGAATGGGCTCATTCCACGGCTGTTTACGCTGGTGATGAAGGTGGTCGGTGTTGGCCAACCCCTCTTCGACGTCATCGACTGCGCACAGCCATCTCGTTGGACAGCATTTTGTTGGCCCAAGAAGAGAGTCAAACAAGGCGAGGCTTTTTAAAAGGAAAAGATACCAACAAACTGACAAATGATGTATGCCTGATTGCTACACAATCGGAGCAGACAATTCCCATTCGACTGTACGCTGAGTCGTTTGGCGCTACACTTGCGTTACAGTTGAAGCATTCGTTGAATCGGCAAAATTCTGAATCAATCAAATCCAATCTGGCCGTTAGCCTCGAAGGAAATCGAGGCGCCACAACACTTTGCTCTATCATCTACGAATCACCGTCTGTTCAACATTCACCATTTGCTCTCGAGGTCACCGCATGGCCGGGTCGGTGTGTTCAGGCTGAATTAACCAAAACTTATTCCGATGGCAACATCACCAAAATTGTGGACCGATGTGAGAATGTTGAAGATGTGAGTAAAGCTTCGTCTAGGTCTGATTTAGTCAATCTCGGTTGTCCGGCCTGTACAGAGGAGCGAATGAAAGAGACGCTTGGACGACTTCGCGGACAAGCGGACAGTTTAAGCAGCCTCAGTAGTCCACCACAAACCGGTGCCTACGTCTACACTGGTAGTCCAAGTGATGCCAACTCTGAGTGCTCCTGTTACCATCAACTGAACGAAGCTGACATCGAGAATGGGCCAAATCGAGTTGTACCGATGGACGAAGTTCAGCCTAAAGGAGAGACACAGGAATCAGGCAAATTGGGACAAATAGGAAAAATGGGCAAATTGGGCAAATTGAGTAAATTGAACAAATCTGGCATATTTGGCAAATTTGCCCAATCAGTCAGTGAAGCCAAGAAGATGGAGGTGGGTTTAAAAGTGATGCACAGTCTGGCTGACACTGAAAACCTGCCGGCCAGAGACAAGTTTGCAACAAACAAGTCGGCCGCCTGCGAAGACTCACCCATTCTTGGCTTCAGTCAGAGTGTATTTCCCGAAAAAAGATGCTCTCCAAAGTCGAGAAAAAGTGTAGAACAGATAGTCCAACTGTTGGCAGTCCAAGAGACTCGTAGTGTATTTCAAGAATGGCTGGTTGAACAGGTCGCCAAGACGATATCACGGCAAAATCGTCATCAATCCGGACCTCAAACTATATCTAATGATGCAGTGGGAGATTGCGCCACCGAGTCGAGTTGTGCGTCAACCTGTTGCTCTCTGGGCAACCAACCAGCACGTCGACTCGTCAGAGGCCAGAAGCAATACTTTCCTAAAACCCTGCCAACTTCATTCGACTCCGGCTCCGACTGCTGCCCCGGGCTTGGCTCCGGTTGCGGCTCCGTCTTGGCCTCCACCTCCGCCTCCGTCTGCTGCTCCGACTGCGACTCTGGCACCGGTTCGGAACCCTCTACCCCAGCCATATTCACCGCCAATTACGCGGGTCAAAAGGCCAAGCTCAACTATCCGATCGACGACATTTCGTATGATGAGACGGTTGTAAACAACTGTCCAAGATGCCTGGCTGAAGGTGAGCATCAAAAGGTTGGGCCAGGCATGAAAGTCCACCATAAACAGACCTTTGCAGAGGAGACCGGTCTCTGGAAGCCTATAGTTCAAGAGGAGGACGAATTCTCCGATGAAACAATTCTGGTAGCTGAATCGCTGGCGAGTGAATCACTAGAAGAGGAATGCACGTCGTGTGAAAGTGACGAAGAAGCATTAGGCAACCTACAAGAAACCATAAAAAATTCTGGCCAACAGACGCATGAACCTAAATGGCCTCATTTAAAACGAAAAAGTGCTGAGAAAGAGGATACCACCAAATGCCGTTCGCTCTATTTGAAGAATAGACAGAAAAAAATTAAGGGACAAACAAAAACTAACGGAATGTGGACAAGGGAACACGAAAATCGTATAATCAAGGGTTCAATAAAGGTCAGAACTGCCATCAATGGAGTATCGTCTCTAGACGAGCCTCATATGGCAGCAAATGCACACAAAAAAGAGGCGGCTATGAAAGAAGTTACCCACATTTACCCTTCAAGTCAAATACCGAGGCTACAGAACCTAGGCGAAAATAATCGCGAGTCATTCAAAAAGTCTCAAATCGACAAAAAATTGGAGAACCAACGATTAGTTGCGTCTGGCAAAGCAGAAGTTTGGCGAGAAACTGTGAGTTTTTCCATAACCTAAAAAATATCCAATTAAATATTGCGAAAAATACCCTTTTACCAGCAATTTAAAATGAAACTAATATCTTGATGCCAAATTTCCAAAGATAAATTTTGGGTGATATCACTTATATTGAACTTAGGCGAGATCGAACGGCATTGCGAAGAGATATCTATTCTCTGACGGCTGCACATTCTCGTCTTAGTTTTACTACTACTTAATCTATCCGTGAGTAGTAAGCTTTTAGAGCACGCAAAAAGATTTGCAATGAAATTTCGCCGAATTTCCATATCGGCTAATAGTTAGATCAATTCAAGGTTGTTCGTCTGAGTGTAGATAATTCATCCATTGCTCGGCAGTATAGTATGAAATTATTATATATCTGCTTATTTTTATTTAACCATAGACTACATTATTTATTCGAAGGTATGAAGATTAAGATGGTGTGGCCTTTTGTGTGGTCGCAGTCTCCATTCGTTGTATAGAAGTTGTGTTACCTTGTTTTCGCAACTTTGTCATATTGGTAGGAAGACTTAGAGGAATGCACCTTGTCCTGATTCCATTGTATGCATATTCATTTCCAAAATCAGACCGAGGACGTGCTACATTCCCAGACGTTTCGCCGGCATCGTAGTTGGCATCGTAGTCGGCATCGTCAGTGAGTTTCACCATTCGTAGCACCGTATTACAACTCGTAAAAAAGACAAGTGAACCCGATCCTTTGACCAAGCGTGTGCTAAACAGTTTTGGTATCTTCCGTTCTGCCCTGGCCTATTCACATTTTCTATGATGCCGGCGAAACGTCTGGGAATGTACCACGTCCTCGGTCCGACTTTGGAATTGATTATGCATACAATGGACTAAGGACAAGGTGCGT